TGATATTCCTAAAACCCCAAATACTGTTATAGCTACCTATGCTGACGACACTGCAATTCTCTCACCTGGTATTGATCCTGTAGAAACTGTACATTTTTTACAAACACATTTAGACTTAATAGACAAATGGTCATCCATCTGGAAAATCAAAATTAATCCTGACAAATCAATTTATGTTCCATTTACACTAAAAAAGTCCATACCCCTTCCCCTCTATTTTCAAGGAATACAAATCCCAATATCCTCAGAAGTAAAATACCTCGGCGTCCTAATTGACAAAAGACTGACCTGGGGTCCTCATATCAAGTCAAAAAGAAAAATTCTCAATAGTCGACTCCACTTACTTCGCCCAATTCTGAAATCAAAATTACCCTTCCACACAAAAATAATCATCTACAAATCCTTATTACGGCCTATCTGGGCTTATGCTATCCAAATCTGGGGATGCGCTAAACCATCTCAAATACGTACCCTCCAAGCCTTCCAATGTATCACTCTCCGAATTATCTCTTCCGCACCTTGGTATGTTTCAAATTCCACACTCCAAAATGACTTCAAAATAGAAACAGTAAATCAATTAGCAACAAAACATTATAAAAAATTTCACTCTAAATTACAATGTCACTCTAACCCTTTAATCGCTGAACTTGTTCCAACTCACTTCCTAGTAACCCCCCACGCCGCCTAAAGAGAAATTGGTGTCGTGATTTATTGAATGATTAATGGTTCATACCATTTAATTTAAATTTAATTTATATCAAGTCAATAATTAATAAATAATTAAAATAACGTTGGGTTCTATCACTGGATGGCCTCCCTCCTCATGTGTTCATGTTGTAAATATAATTGTACGAATGTGTGCTCAAATTTGCTTATTATGCCTTATTGTAGCATAGATTGTAAATATTCTAATAAATAAAATAAAAAAAAAAAAAAAATATTTTGTTATTTATTCTTTTAATGTGCAGGTATCTGGTTTAAATTTTTTCTGATTCCCCTTACACAAAAGCGAAGTATAAACCAATCGCCACTGATTTACTCTCCGAATTGTTTAGCTTCTCTGTAAATGATAATACACAATATCTAAGGCCCCTGCAAATGTGTCATTTTTAAGGAGTTGTGTTTATGCAATTATTTCGTTCCTGCGATTACTGATCGTCTTTATGTGTGTGTAGTAAATGATCATTAGTGTGTGTATACTCCCCTACCATCACCCGCGACCATCATCAATTTACAATAACTTCTTATTTCTTATCTACTTTATGGTCACAAACACGCAATTGCATAAGTCATTTTATGTCTAGATCAAAATATTCAAAACCAATTTATGAACATGTAATGGCCGTTACACGGACAAAAATTAAGGTACTTATAGTGGTTCTAGTAGTTCGATTTAAAAAATTTAAGAATGTTTGTGTTGGTCAACAAGTTTACTTTGCATTGGTCGTAGCACTTTTTTAATTTTAACCAATTCTTGATGAGGATAAGTATTTTACATTTTATAAATTTATACATTTTAGATTCTGGGTAAAACGATGAATGTATTGATTTTACAATGATGTGTGTTTTTTTTTTTATTTTTGTTAATATGAATAGTGTTTAAAATGTTATTTATAATCATAAAATAAATAAATAAATTGTTTACTTGGAGTTTTATGTCTGAGGGTAAAATTGAAATCCTAATCAGTCGTAAATATGATATCATCTTCCTTTTCTGTAAACATATTTATAATAACATTAACATTTATACAATCTATCTGGCACTCGATCAGTGGCGTAATTATGGGGGGGGGGGGGTATGGATAATGGATGTATGAGTATCATACCCCCCTCCCAAGTCATTTTTTAAATAGCTGTATTAAATTCTCGTGAATACTTGGCTATACAATATATTAAGATTAAAAAAAAAAATTAATGGACAATGATTAACTAATATCACAGTTAAAAGACAAAACTGATAAAACGTACTACTTAAGACTTCTGATTTTATTTTTATTTTTTAACCACCTAAAATGCTTTTATTTATGTTCTATACATTTTGAAAAATACACTTTTTTAGATTCTGAGCGGATCGATGAATGTATTGGTTTTACATTGATGTGTGTTTTTTTTTTTTATATATTTTTAATATAAAAACAAATATAAACAAAGATTCTCTTAAATAATTCATACTGTAACCAAAAAATCTAAAAAATATATAAACACACTTATTTTTTACAGACATTTTAATTTCAAGTTTAGACAAAATTTCATATTTAAGCCAAGAATTACGATTTTAGTTATTTTATTGTGATTGTATAATATTATTCGTGGGTACTTGAAATTTCTAAACTAATCTACTATATATATCCATGATAGTATCAGGGTTTGTTGTTGGTGTATAACGCGTTATAAGTACCTAATGGATATTGTGATATGATTAATTTGGAATTCATTATAGGTCAATTTCTTTTAATACCATAGATATGTATATAATATGTCTTATACCTAGAAGGACATACCGTCTGGCTCAGAATCGTATTTCTTATACAAAGATATTATATCATTGAATTCAAATTTAATACCATTCATTATACAATGACCCACTTGTAACCTACTGTACAGCAGAGCGACACCCACTTGCCCACCTTTTAGATTCTGAGTGAAACGATGAATGTATTGATTTTACAATGATGTGTGTTTTTTTTTTATTTTTTTATTTTTGTGTCTGTCATCACGTTTTAGGACAGTAAAAGTGCTTGGATTTTCTTCATCAGTAGCTTTTCTGATAGGAAAGTGAATCTAGTTGGTACTTTGGTATAAAGTATAAATTTCCCAGTAGTTTTCACAAGCGCCGGGAAAAACAACATAAAAATTAAGGAAAAACGGGAATTTTTACGCAAAATTGGTTTTCCAAAAAATCGATTTTGGTTTTTGGTGTAACTCTAAAACAAATGAACGTATATACATGAAATTTTCACTGGTTGTTTATATTTGCATTTTCTATACACGATAACATTTTCAAAATATTTTGATTTATTTTGAATTGTTTAGGGACATTTTCATTTTCCATTTTTTTTTAGTTTTTTTCTAAAAATAGCAATTAAATATTAATTGTTGGTTGCGAAAGCTTGAAAATTTAATAGAAGGCTCCTAATATATTGTATCAAAGGCAGATGAAAAATATTAAAAATCCTTAGTCATAATTTTTTTTATAAGCATTTAAAGTTCAAAAATTGACAAAAAATGGAAAAATCACGAAAATTAGCAAATTATTTTGAGTTAAGAATTAGTAAAAATTTTTCTTTTTAAATCTAAGATTTGAAAATTAAACACAAGATTCCTTATAAGATTATCTACCTTTATCAAAAAAAAATGTCTATAAGAAAGTCAAATTAAATTTTTATGAGCGTTTGAAATTCAAATTTTTACAACATCGAATATTCACTCGTTTTCCCATGTAGCGATTTCCTTATTTTGTTGTAATTCAAAAACAAATAACTGTAGATACATGAAAATTTCACTGAAGTTTTATATTAGCATTTCCTATACACCATACAATTTTGAAAATATTTTGACTCTTTTTGAGCTGTTTATGGACATTTACAGCTTTCAATTTTTTTTAGTTTTTTTTTTCTATAAATATCAATAAAGTTTTATCTGTTGGGCCAAAAAGTGTAAAAATGTAATACAAGGCTCCTGATATATTGTTACAATAGCAGTTGAAAAATATTAAAAATACGTATGCACAGTTTTTTTTTATAAGCATTTAAAGATCAAATTTTGACAAAATTTAACAAAATCTCGAAAATTATCAATCATTGAAATTAATAAATTATAAAATGTTCAGTTTTAATAGCTAAGGATTGCAAATTTTAAACAAAGGTTCTCATAAATAGTTCATACTGTAACCAAAAAATCTAAAAATATATGAACACAGTTATTTTTTACAGACATTTTAAATTCAAATTTAGTCGAAATTACATATTTTTTTTTTTTTGTTTTTTCCGTTTGAACCGACAGCAGAGGAGGATCTGTGTGAACACTACTACTCCTAGACGAAATTACATATGAAAAAACCTAGAATAACTATTCTAGTTATTTTGTTGTGATTGAATAATATTATTCGTGGGTACTTGAAACTTCTACTACTTAAAGTGTACTATTATATATCTATGATAGTATCAGGGTTTGTTGTTGGTGTATAACGCGTTATAAGTACCTAATGGATATTGTGATATGATTAATTTGGAATTCATTATAAGTCAATTTTTTTAATACCATAGATATGTATATATAATATGTCTTATACCTAGAAGGACATACCGTCTCCGCTCAGAATCGTTTTTCTTATACAATGATATTATATCGTTGAATTTAAATTTAATATCATCCATTATACAGTGACCCACTTGTAACCTACTGTACAGCAGAGCGACACCCACTTGCCCACCTTTTTTAGTGTTGAATACATTCGAAAATATCTAAAATATAAAAAATATGCTCCGACCGATGCAAAGTAGATTTGTTGACCAATTAAGACATCTTTACATTTTTTTAAATCGAACCACTAGAATTACTTTAATTTTTGTCAGTAGCTAAGGTCGTTTTGATGGAAAATTAATAGGGTTAGCAGGGGCCTTCTCATTCCCTAAAGATGAAGTCACTTTATGGTGTAAATGTGTAAATGTGTAAATGCGCGTCCAGACGGATCAGCTTTTGACCGTCGACACGGCTACAAGGTGCGGCTTTTGAAAAAAGTTTGTTCCGCTACTAATTACTTAAAAAATAATTTAAAAACGTAAAAAATAAGTACTGATGCCGCACGGCTTTCCTTTGATGTAGACCGCCTACTAGGCAGATCGGAAATTATTCCACACGGCATCAAAAATAGCCGCGAAAATTGTATTTATGTATAATGTATTCATACACATGCCACTCGGCGAAAGATGCTCCGCCTGGACGCGCCTTAAGATAAGGTGCAAAGCATCGGTTGATGTATTTTGAATAACCTTGTAATATTATATACTATGTAAACAAGTGTCGTCAATAATGTCTGTCATATTTACCGTATCTTTCACGCGTGAGGCTGCGATGATAATACTCATAACAAAAATTGAATCTTGTAAATACACCAAGAACGTTATTAATTTTACCAATACAGCATTAACACTGACTGTCCAATTAGTAAGTCCTATGAAATGAATTGAAATAAAAAATTTGAAAATTATATCGATGTAACTGAATACGAAGAATGCCAAGAGGATTTGTCCGAAACTAATACTGAATATCCGCAACAGGTCGGACAGTTCACTGTGTAACCGTCGAACGTTATCCAACATCATAACGATCTCGGGGTTCGACCATCCACCGACGATGACGGGAACCGTCGTAAATCCGTCTGGAAGTTGTGTCCAGAAATTGTTCAATGTTTGGAATCTACACTCCAAGTTTTGCAGGTAAAAATAAGAAGAAATTACCACGGTGATGTCTACGATGTTACCCAAACGAATAAAATACATTGAAATGGCCACAATGTCGATATCTTTCATCGGAATGATCCGCAACAGTATCATTGAATTTGCGACGTAATATACGAACGTACAACAATAAATTATGTTCCAGCATTTTTTTTCGATCGGACGTCGGTGCTCAAAAGAAACTGTCAAGACGGATGATAGTTTTTGATCGTATTCTATAATGCCATTGATAAATCTTAAAAAACAATAAACAATACAAAAAATAATTATTTATTGCTAATAAAATGAATAGGTACAGTGAAATTATTTCGTCTGACTACGTACATCTATATCTATGTGTACCTAAATATGTTTGAGAGATTCACATTTGTAATTAGTGTATAAATGCTGCGTTACTGACATGAGCGTACACGTGTGTAACTCGTGTGTAATAGCCGCTATTTATTTTATACACAGTCACACACATCACTTACTACTCACACATTTACACGACTCACGTGCAAACCGAGAGAAAATTGACTACATTGAACTCCTTAAAAACGATCGGTTTGTTATATTATGTAACTTATACGTTACGAGCACAATCTAAGATATACAGGACTGGACACGAGATGAATATTGTGGTTACGAAATGTAGTACAACTGTAGTGAGTTCGGGGGGATATTTTCCTTTTAGCATTACTACCGCCATCTTAGTGGATACATATGGAATTATGGAACTAGAAATTTGTATGATGTGTTCTAGTTCCATAAGTATCCACTAAGACAGCGCTAGTAATGCTAAAAGGAAAATATCCCCTCGAACTCCGCCCGTTATACTACATTTCGTGGTCAAGTATAGTATAATATTATGTATAATAATCTTTTTTTTTTGTTTTGTTTGAACAGCAGGAACCGCTTTCACATTACTTCAGTGGCAAATGTATAATAATCTATCTATACTATTATACTAATACTAATGCTTATATACTAAACTATAAATCGACGGTATTTTGTCAAAAGGGCGCTTACCATTAAAAATTGAAAACTACGTTTTTGGTACCTATCAACATTTTCAGAAAAATCACGAAAATATTATGGTAAAGCGGCGTATACCTACATCTACGGAAAAATAAGACATCCAGACGCCCTTTTAAAAATTAAAATAATCTACACAGAACTGTAGAAAAGGCTTATACCACATCGAATACGTACTAATATCTTACAACCTACACACCTATAAACTGTTTATAACAATAATAATTATTTATGGTTTGTTTATTACCAGATTGAACAAAGTGGTTTTACTAGGTTACACAATGAACATCACTTGTATGGATAACAAATTAAAAATATTGTATAAAATTAAAAGGGCGTTTGTAGAAATGCAAATGTCAAAAGGACTTATATCACTATTATTATATGTTCTTAGAAGGATGTTTATAAAATTCAAATTGTTAAAAGGGACTACACCACATACATTTTTTTTTTCAATTAATATAACATTAAATATAAATTTAGCTTAAGCAATTTGATGAGCAATTTTAATTCCATGGAGTCTCATGTTAAATATTATGTATAAATGAATGCTCTATCTTAAAAATTGAGTATTTAATCAGTTTTATTTTTTTCCTGAAAAAATTGTGAATACGCCCTTTTGACAAAATACCGTCGATATATTATATATATATATAAATGCCAAATATCAATCACTTACTAATCCCTACGATTGAGTATATTATACATTTTTAGCAACACGATTGACCATAGAATATTGTATGCGATGTTGCCACATTCACGAGACCGAAATTTTGTAATTTATTAATTTATTAATTTATTTTCACATAATACTACACCAATTATTATTATGATACCAGACGCGAGCAGTGAGCTGAGCCCAGCTTTATCGACAATATTTTGGATTTTCGAAAATTGAATTTTAAAGAGGTGCACAAAGTTCAGGGATCAAAACCGGTTAAAACCGCGGTTTTTAATATTTGAACACCGAACCTGAACCGAAATCAAAAGCTTTAGAACACCGGTTAAAAAACCTTAACTGAAACCAAAAATCTAAAAAAAATCGAGTATAAATCCCAAACCAAAACCATATAATTGAAAAACCGTTCTTGAAACCGATTAAAATTTAATACTAATATCGATTCCTTCAAATTGTATAAGTTAATTATTAATTACCTATATTATTTATAATTCTAGTTAAAACGAGTATTTTTATGGTAATAAATATTTTGTTTGAATACTGGTGCTTTTACTGAGTGTTACGAAGTATCAATAGGTAATACTGTAATAGGAATATTATTCTATAGGTATTTATATTTTATAATATTATTACTAATTTATTGATCCAAAATGTACACACTAATATCACAATTGTTATTTTGTTCGCCTCTATTCGGCTATGCACGTCTGCATTTAGATTCTGAGTGAAACGATGAATGTATTAATGATGTGTGTTTTTATTTTTTTTGTGTCTGTCATCACGTTTTAGGACAGTAAAAGTGCTTAGATGTTCTTCAACAGTAGCTTTTCTGATAGGAAAGTGAATCTAGTTGGTACTTTGGGGGGTCAAAAGTAAAAATTTCACAGTAGTTTTCACAAGCGCCGGGAAAAACAACATAAAAATTAAGAAAAACGGGAATTTTTACGCAAAATCGGTTTTCCAAAAAATTGATTTTGGTTTTTGGTGTAACTCTAAAAGAAATGAACGTATATACATGAAATTTTCACTGGTTGTTTATATTTGCATTTTATATACACGATAACATTTTCAAAATATTTGATTTATTTTGAACTGTTTAGGGACATTTTCATTTTCCATCTTTTTTTAGTTTTTTTTCTTAAAATATCAATTAAATTTTATTTGTTGAGCTTGAAAAATTAATAGAAGGCTCCTAGTATATTGTTTCAAAGGCAGATGAAAAATATTTAAAATCCTTAGTCACAATTTTTTTTATAAGCATTTAAAATTGGAATTTTGACAAAATGTATCAAAATCTCGAAAATTATCAATCATTGTAATTAATAAATTATAAAATGTTCAGTTTTTATAGCTAAGGATTGCAAATTTAAAACAAAGGTTCTCATAAATTATAAATAGTTCATACTGTAATCAAAAAATCTAAAAAATATATGAACACAGTTATTTTTTACAGACATTTTAAATTCAAATTTGGGCGAAATTACATATTAAAAAACCTAGAATAACTATTTTAGTTATTTTGTTGTGATTGAATAATATTATTCGTGGGTACTTGAAACTTCTAAAGTGTACTATTTTATAATATCTATGATATTATCACGGTTTTTGTTGATGTATAACGCGTTATAATAGTACCTACCTAATGGATATTGTGATATTATTAATTTGGAATTTATTATAGATACCTATTATAGATCAATTTTTTGTTTAATACCATATATATGTTTATAATATGTCATATACCTATAGACTGACATACCGTCTCCGCTCAGAATCGTTTTTCTTATACAATGATATTATATCGTTGAATTCAAATTTAATACTATCCATTAGTGTTGGGAAAAATCCGGATTTACCGAAGTTCGAAAATCCGGATTCATGAAATTCGAAATCCGTAATCCGGATTCGGATAAAAATCCGGATTTCGGAATTCGAATTCGGATTTTACCCGAAATCCAGATTTCGGATTTTGAAACATTGAATTAATATTTTTTTATGGATTCCTTATATTAAAGCCTTGATAAACAGTTGGACCAAATTTACAAATGTATAGTGTATACTGGGTAGTGAATATTTACTATTTAGTATTATTCATTTCAGTTGTACTTATCCTACAGAATAATTCAATCTAGGGCTGTATCATATAAAGACATTTTTTATTTTTTAATAACTAAAACTTAATACTGTTCACAAAGTGAAGTGCAAAAATATGTATCTGTTTTACAATTTTAAAGTTCAAATAATTTTAGATTCTGAGTGAAACGATGAATGTTTTTTATTTAAAATAGAAAATGTTCGTTTTTTATATTAGAATTGATAACGAAAAATTTTTATTTTCTGCTTTAGAATACAGAAATCCACAATGTGAAACCCAAATATTCGGATTTTCAAATCCAAATTTCGAATTTTTGCAAATTTTTTGTAATTTTTTTACAACTTAAAATCCAAAATCCGAAATCCGGATTTTTCGGATTTTCGGAGAATCCGGATTTATTTCACACCACTACTATCCATTATACAGTGACCCACTCGTAACCTACTGTACATCAGAGCGACCCCCACTTGCCCACCTTTTTGTTATTTGAAGTTATTTGTGTATATTAATATTAATTATGAATGTTATTACAATTTACAATCGTTTTATATTCGACTGATCCGCGTCCGTCCCACAGTCATCAATCACTTATTTCATTATCAACAGTCAGTGTGTCCCCTGAATTACAAATGTGTGTACCAAATCTTGTAAAGTGTATTTGAATCTTAACAACGAATCTTTTTAAATAACAATAGTTTCAATAGTCCAATACACTTTTTTAATGTCCATTTAAATTAATATTTTGTTCAAATATCAGCGGCGTAATTACGGGGGGGGGGGGGCACGACGGAGCACTTTCGCCCCCTGGTGTTCTGTATTAGGTGAAAAGATATGCTTTTACAACAGCAGGAGCTGAAATTTATACCTATTAAAACACAATACTATTTCATAGTTTTGCCAAACTTTTTATAAAAGATAACAAACTGAACACAAATAATAAAATAACGTTATAACTTATATAATAATGCTGTTATCACTAATTCATTATAATTTATAACCGATAGCCGTATAATCACTGTCATAGATTATAGACTAAATTTACCAAAATAACAGTTTTCATTTCATAGAAATAGTACATTTTAGATTCAGGGAGGATCGATGAATTTATTGATTTTACAACGATGTGTTATAACTTGTATCTTATATAAATATTTAATATTATATTATACTTTATATTGTTATTATTAATCTGGTAGCTGGTAAGTTGAATTAATAGTATTTGCATATTATCATGTTCCAATATTTGTATATATAATGATATACTTGAGAAGTTGCAAGAAG